ACCCCAAACCCCAAGACGAGGATGATAAAACTCAAAGAGTGGATCAGTCGGGCTCTGGGGGGGTTTAGGGTTTAGGGTTTAGGGTTTAGGGTCTAGGGTTTAGGGTTTAGGGTTTAGGGTCTAGGGGATAAGCCCCGATGGAATGATGTATAAGTTCTCTGAAAACATCTGGATCCCTTTAACCAAACCCCAAACCCTAAACCCTAAACCCTAATTCCATCTGACTCCTATGAGTCTCAGGGAAACCAGTTTAGGTCGGGTCTTCAGAGCACCGCCGCTGGCGATCTCCGGCTACCTCACGCCGCTTACCTGCAATCGGCTCTTGTGGGGATTGGAGTTCAGGGTTTAGGGATTAGACTTTCGGGATTAGGGTTTAGGGGTTAGGGTTTAGGAGCAGACCTTGTGTAGCTCAATGGGCCGCCGGAGGAATCCACAGTTGCGGCAGATGCCATGGAGGAGCCCGCAGTTGCGGCGGATCCATCGGCTGCAGCGGCGGATCCATCGGCTGCAGCGGTGGAGCCATCGGCGGCATCGAACTCGGCTGGTGTGGACGGGCCTGGAGAGCCTTTACTGCAGGAGCTTTTTGAAGACCGGGATGCGCCGGCTGAAGAGTAGTCCGCGCCGGCAGAGCCCGGGCCAGAGGCAACAACGGATGATGGTGTGCTGGAGGAGCTGCTGAGCGACCTATAGGAATTGTCCTAGGAGTTACGAGGGATATACAGGGGGCTCACACTAGGATTTAGGGGGCTTTAGGGTTCAAGGTGTACAGTTTCGGGATTTCAAGAGGGTTGCTAGCCTTGCGCCGTTCGGCGCAAAGGGGACTGAGCCGTCCCAAGGACCACGCCCACGACCCTCTGATAAAGGAGCAATCGCTTGAGACAGCGACCGTGCCCAGGTTTAGGGTTTAGGGTTTAGGGTTTAGGGTTTAGGTAGGGTTTAGGGTTTAGGGTTTAGGGTTTAGGGTTTAGGGTTTTTCAGCAAACCCGTTTTGAGTCAGAAAGGGGAGCCGTCCCACTCTTCGCCCCCGACGACCTTGACTACAAGATCGACGTTCCGGTCCGCTGGGACGACAGGGGCTTCTATGTGAACCGAACAACCGTTTGGTTTACCTGCTTGTCTGTGAAAAGTCTTGGCTCTCCAGCTGAGGCCTTCAACCCTAAACCCCCTAGTTGGCGCCGCTGCTTCGATAGAAGAAGCCGATTTAGAGTTCAGGTGATGAGGATGCTGTTTACTGGGTTTGGGGTTTATGGTTCAGGGTTTAGGGTACTTTCTGTGGTTTGACTTTACTAAGATTTGAAAGGGGCGGCCGCAAGAGTAGCCGTTTTACTGTCCTGAGAGGGACCCTAACAATCCCGACGATGCCACAACACCTTTCAAGGTCGTGGTTCAGTACGAGTTCAGTGTTTGGGTTTTGGGGCTGAGGGTTTCGGTAGGGTCTAGGTTAGGATTTTGAGGGATTTCTCTGTTCAATTGGGATCAACCGTGGTCTCCCACAACCAGTAGGGCTTTTCGGATTGATTGGTTTAATGTAGGGGCCTAAATAATTACCAATACTATTTCGGGGGGCTCCTTATTATAATGATCAATCGGTCCCAAAACACTATTCTAATTATTAAGGCCCCTACATTAGGGTATAGGGTTTGGGGCTTAGGTTGCGTGGGAACGGAAGTATTAGCCTAAAGCCCAACTCTCAGAGTTCAGGTTTCCAACTGAAACCGCATGGGGTTTAGAGAAGCCTGATTCAGATAGGGGCCTTAAGAATTACCTGTATCATGTCGGGGGTTCCTTATTATATCACCCAACACCCTAACTGTTCTAGTTATGCTTAACTACTTTTCATGAGGCTTCCTTTTCTAGTGTAGTACATCTCCCCAAACCCTATTCCCAGACCCCTACGAGGATCTAGAAAGTACAACTCCTCATTTTGGACCATATACGACTAAGGCAACTGTATAGGAACCCCCCTGAAGGGATCTACTTTCTAGATCCTTCCCGTGGGTCGATAATCAAGGCCCCTACGTGACATACTCTAAACCTGAAATCCTAAACCCTAAACCCCTAAACCCCTAAACCCCTGACCCCAAACCCCAAAACCCAAAACCCTAAACCCTTGACCCCTAAACCCGAAACCCTAAACCCTAAACTCCCGATTTCGGTCGTCCCGAAGCTTGGATCCGACGTGTAATGCTTTCTTAAGTTCAACTTCGAACGTAACTCTACACTTTAAACCTCAAACTCTAAACTCTAAGCTCTAAAAAGCCCTAAACAACCCTGCACCCAAAGCCTCAAAAAGCCCTTAAAGACCAAAGGGTCCTGAGCTCCGAACTTCGTCAGGGATGTTGAGACCCTAAACCCTAAACC